ATAACCAAAATTTCTTAAGTACAGTAACAAAGTATTTGTTTATAACAAAGTATTTGTACTTTGTTACTTTACAAGTCTGGACGGTTAATTTTATTCAAACATTCAATGAATCTTGCACAGGAGCCCATTAGTGATTAGTGATCAGTGCAGCCATGAGTAACCTGAACATGCAGTTATAACAAATGGTTATCTGTCCACAGAACAATCAGACATGATTTCATCTCAGGTGGATGAAAAACTGAAAACAGTCTGTCTAATAAACTCATCAAACTATCACCAACTATACTCAACACCAAAATGTGGCCTAAGTTCACCATCACTGACAAACTCTTCTTCAGTAAAAAGCTGGATAAATGCTGTCATCTGGTTTTCTTTTAGCCTAAAGACACAATGTTTTGTATAAAGTTACATTTATTATACTCTTTTTTTTATTTATGCACTTTTTCTAAATACTTTCAAAGACTTGTTATGGTTGTCCAGTTGGCTTCTTTCAAGTTTCAAGGATTTTTTCGGAGCTTGGTAGAACTTTTTTTTTGTCATGAAGTAATCTTCATAACCAAACTAAAGCTTAAAACATTACCTGCATTAAGCTTTGTCTCTTTGTGAAAGTTTAAAACTCTGATCAACTCTTCCAAAGAGTAAAACTGCTATTCTTTAGCTGGACTTGGTAAATATACTTCTGTTGACTTTGACTTAATTTATATATTTTATAATTATTTGTCATTTTTTTCTAGTAACTTTGTGGCACATGGACCCAGTCTGCCTTAAATAAGAGGCGCTAATCTCAAGGGAATTCTTAGTGTTTGGTTAATGAATGAATGAATAAAAGAATTAATTAATTAATTAATTTTAAAAAAGAAATGTGTCCATTCTTTCAGATTCCATGTTCATTTTACAGTTGTTTTAATGTCACCCACACTGTGTGGTTTAGTCATGTTATTTCTTTGCAAGTCAAATCAAGGAGGAAGTCTATGATGCTATATCAAGTGTGTACTGCTGTGAAGTCAAACAGGAGGAATTCAGACGAATTTAATAACAGAAGCAGCCAGAGGCTCTTAAAAATGTTTATTTTTTTCCAACTTGTGATGAAGTAACTTGCTTCTGTAAACATCTAAATCCTTAAAACGATGTCACCGCTGCTCATAAATCCTCGCTGGCTGCTTATTGTGAACATAATTACTCTGCTGTGTGGGATTTGGCAGCAGAACGGCCTTTGTGAGGCAGTGGGTGAGTAGCTAAAGCTTACATATTAGCATTTGAACACATTGTAGCTTTGTTAATTCTTTATTTGTTTACAGACAGAAAGTGGTTCAAAGACATGCTGATTATTACTGCAGAAAATATTACTGAAAACACAACTTTTCCTTCAGGTGAGCTTAGAAATACAGCACAGGATTTTTTTAAAGTTAAAAACATGAAATTAAATTGTGAGTTGTGGTTTCATGTTTGTGTTGCAGAGGTTATTTATCACAATAAAAGTCAAATAAAACTTTGTTTCAACATTCTGGCAAACAAAACTAATGCAGGTACTAACGTCTGTGTGGCTAATATTGATGATAGTAAAACTTTCATTATGGGCAGTTTAATAATTGTGAATGTTTTGTTTTTAGGTTGTTGTCATGAGGAACCTTTTAACTGCACGACTCATGTGAAATGGATCAGCAATGACAAATATACACTGAATGTGAAGTTATCAGCTTTGATCCAACATGATATCATCGTGCTGCAAAACCCAGCTTGTAATTTCTCCTGCAGACCATCAAAGTTCTACAAGTCAGGTACTGGTCCCAGGTTTACTGTTGATGATGATTGTTGAAGGACAGCAGTGAGAGGCTGYCACCTGCTGGTGTAAAGCCACACATCTTTTACCTTCTCATCCTGTGACTTTAGCTTATTTGAATCAAACAACACACCTTTCATCCTGCAGGTCTTATACTCCAGCTCCACAACTGCCTGAAAGGAGGTAATTTTTCCAGTCTGCCGCAGCTGTAATGTTGCATCAAGTGTCAGCAGAATCTTTGTCCCAACAAGATGTTTTATTGTGTTTTAAGGTGGGAAGAATATTAGACTGAGTCTAAATGACACACTTGGAGAAAATGTATTCCTGGAGAATATGACACATGACGGTATTTAAATGATTTTATAAGAATATTTCAAACATTTCTCTGTGAACATTTTATTCACAAAGTGTTTCCAATTGTGTGCTTGAGTTTGAAATGCAGGTTATGAGTATTTGATTGACAGTGGAGTGTATCCAAAAAATGTAACTTGTAAACCGGCACAAAATGGATCATCATCACCAGAATCAACAACACCAATGCCAACAACAACAACATCATCAACAACAACACCAATGTCAAAAACAACAAAAATATCAACAACAACAAAAATATCAACAACACCAATATCAATCACTGGTAAACCCTCAACGAGTCCTGCAAGCCCAGAGCAAGCAGTGTAAATATCTGTTATTAATAATAAGAATTTAATGATACTTTATTTAATCACAACATTGTACCATGCTGAAAGTAATTAGTTGTGTTTTCATTCCAGAAACATCATGAGCAATCTCACTTCCTTGGTGGAGAAAATGGGCAACTCCAGCACAGCCGCCATCAAAATCGGCAMCATTACAGGAGTGATCGCAAAACTGCCGGCACAAAACGCCACCGGCATGAACTTTGGTTTTACAGCGAGTGGGGATGTGAAAGTACGCAGCATCTGTTGACACAAGGGTTCAAACATGGTACCAAGATGTTGTAAATCACTTGATTTCTTATTTTTATATCTGTTTTTTTTTTTCAGACGTTTAAGGAACAGAATGGAATCGGCTTGTCTAGGATGATAACAATTCCCAAAGAAGCCAGTGAAATGGCTGTAAACAGAAGCGGCAAGTTTGCTGCAGTTCTACTTTTTCCAGAAATGACCCAGGTAAGACTGAGGTTGATCTGACAATGTATTTACTTTTCTATTTACATCCTGATTAAACAGAAACTGTATTTCAGACACCACTGGGTGAAAAGAACAGTTTCTTTTTCAACAATGAAATCCTGGGAATTGAAATGGGAGCACAGATTTCCAATCTCACAGAAACTGTAGACATTCAGTTTAATAATGTGAATAAGGTAAACAGATTTTAAATCCTTCTGTAATCTTTAGTTGAACAAATTAAGTAATCTGATTTTCTTTTTTTTTAATCCCTGATACAGAATGGAAGCAATGCATCTTGCAGGTCATGGGACGGCAAAGGTAAAATTATTTGGAACACTTTCTAAGAAAGTTCAGCAATTACCTTTTACAAAAGGACTTGTGAAACATTATAAATGTGTACTTAGGTGTAATAATGAAAGACAAAAGCTTACAGAACACACAGGAAAAGACTGTAGTAATTTACTTTTAATATCCTAACAAAATGAAACCATTATATAAATAATAATTATGTTTTGTCTGCACATTTTACCTTTCATCTTCATTCAAACCTGCTGCRATTTTTAAGGTGATTCTTTATGCTAAACTTCAAACCAATCAAAAGTGTGTTTGATGACATCATTCTTGCCTAATACTGTGCCATGATCCAATTTTACCTTCTACTTTATGTTGCAGCAGCAGGGARYAGTTCAGTCTGGGTCCCAGATGGTTGCCAAACAGTGGAGACTAATGACAGCATCACCTGCAGATGCTCACATCTCACATTTTTTGCCATACTCATGGTAAAATGGCTGCATTTCCATTTTTTCAAGTTATATCAGCTTTTTACACAAGAACCAAACCTGTCTTTCTGTTTGAAACCAGTCACCCATACCAGCAAACAYCAGCGCTGCTGATGCAAACAATCTGAACCAAATCACTAAAGTCGGCTGTGGTGTTTCAATGTTTTTTCTCGGAGTGGCTCTCTTCATGCATTTTCTCCTCAGGTAAGAAATGAAGACGTTTCTGTTTGGGTTTTAATCCTGCAGAGCTGCAACCCTTTGCTGACACAAATTATCTCCCCAGAAAAAACAAAGCGAGCAATGCTGCAAAGATCCTGGTCAGTCTCTTCATCGCCCTGTTCTTCCTGAACATTTCCTTCCTGATCAATAAAACAATCGCCGGCCTGAAAAGCTGGGCTGCATGTGTGGCGATGGCAGCGTTTCTGCACTACAGCATGCTGGCCACGTTCACCTGGTTTTCCATGCAGGCGTTGCACCTGTACCTCAGCCTGCATAAMGTCCCTGCAAACATCAAACAYTACATGGCCGTGGTTTACGTGACAGGATGGGGTAAGAGAAGCTGACGGTTCAGTCTCTGTCTGATTGATGGAATAACCAYAAACAYSTTCATGTTTCCTGTCTTCTTCAGTCACTCCAGTTGTGTTTGTGATCGTTCTCCTTGGTTTAAACAAATATAAAACAATTGTCATTTCATATGATGACGGGACTTCAGAGGACATGTGAGGAACTTTTAAAGTGTTTTTGTTGATTAAAAAAACAAATGTCATCACTAAAATAAAGATTTGTTTGTTGTTTTCAGGTGCTGGATGTCTGATTCTGCCATTCACTTTGGCGTGAACATTGTTTACTATGCCGTTGTGTTCATTTTAACTCTCATTATATTCGTTGTAACGGTGGTGCAGATTGTTCACTTTGGCACTAAAGCAGCAACAACTCAGGACGGCAGCTCCACCAAGTCAAAGCTGTTCTCCATTCTGGGTCTTTTCTTCCTCCTGGGCATCTCCTGGGCGTTTGCTTTCTTTAGTTACGGACCTCTGCTCATTCCGTCCTATTACGTCTTCACCATCCTCAACTCCTTTCAAGGTAAATTGACAAAACATTTAATTAAAGTTGACACAAACTGCTCCACTTCTACTGAAGAAAATCGTTTGATTTTGTTTGGTTTTTGTAGGTTTTTTGTTGTTTCTCTACTATTATTACTCCACCAAGATCGTTCCTGAGAGCAAAAAGGTTCCACAGAACAGCAACAGCACAGTCAACGAGAACATTTATACAAAATCTCCTTATGGATAARTTCTTTCTTCTCCTGCCCAGGTGAACACTGGGATACTCATAACTTAGTGTTTCCTTTCTATTCATTGGAAAAAACTATATTAATTGTAAAATCTATCACTGATCATTAAGAAGAGGTTTAAGGTTTAGGTGTTGACCTGATTTTTTTTTCTCAAAAAATAAGAATTGAAACACCAGTTGAGGCAGAGAATTTTCTTTCGGGGTTTCATGTCATGACTGATGAACAGATGTGAAATCTCTTTGACACAAGAGGGCAGTCTTATATCAGCTTGATACAATCACAGGAAACAGTCCCCACAGCTTTTAATTTTAGTGTCTTACCCATCAAGACACAGTAGTTCTAAAATGATTAAAATTTAATCCAATTTTTGACAAAAAAATAAATAAACTGAAATTCAGGCTGAGGTAGCTGGGTAAAAGACTCACTATGATAAAATGGAAAAACAATGTTTAAAAGAGACTATATTTATGTTTTTGCTTCTTACTGTTGGTCTTTAAAAACCATGAGAGGCCCTTTATTCCATAATTCAAACTAATAAAATGAGTAGTTTGACAGATAGTTCTTCAAACTTCTGGTGCATTTTTTTTTCAGTTTATTCATGCTTTTATGTTATTAATCTTTTTCAGGCACTTTATTTTGATGTAATTATAAGTAACCTGAAAGTTGGATGTTCTTTCTTGTACAGATGAGTTTTTGTTTTTTTTGTGTTTTGTTGACATTTCCTCTGCAGGTAATTTCAGAGCACAGATGCAAATAAAGCAAACAGTAGTCAGACTGTCTGCTTTATTAGCGTCACCTGGAAACGAGGATAGCATTAGATTCAGGTGACAGTTAAATGTACTTTATTGGTTTCTGTTTTGCATAGACGATTGTAAATAAAAAATGTATTGCATATAAAAAAATAAGGTGAATGTGTTTATTTCTGTAATAAAGTGTTGTTGTTGTTGTTGTTGTTGTTGTTGTTGTTGTTGTTGTTGTTGTTGTTGTTGTTGTTGTTGTTGTAGTAGTTGTTGTTGTGACAAGTTGTTCTTTTGATAAACTTGAGGACTTCGACACGTTAGTTTGTTTGGTTTCTTGTTGTTCATTTACAGCTCCACCAAAATCCTCCCGGAAGGGAYGGAGCTCATGTCAGTTTGATTTTACTCCATGGAGAAAACTGTCCACCTTCTTTTCTGGCAACAATTCAAAATAAGAGGTATTTGTTCAGACATTATCTAATTGTACTGAAGTGAATTTGAGTCTTTAATCTGTCATTGCACGGTCTTAGCTCGGGGTGAATTCACTGAGGCCTCCATTCCTGAACAGACTGGCCATTGTCTTTGTATCATTTCCACTTCTGCAGAATGATGGACTCCACGTTGTTTGAAAATGCCCTTTTCAAATTAATGGGCAGCAAAATCTCACAACATAAAGCTAAATATTCACAGTAAACTACTGCAGTATGTTTGTTTTGGGTCTGTTCAATTTATTGGATGTTTGGGTAGCTGTGTTTGACCGTCATCATTTTAGTGGACAAATGTAAAACAGTGGCTGTGTCCAGATATGAATGCAGTCTTTCTTTTCAAACTGGAAACGTGCAACTGTGGCTGCTGTTGATTTCRTTTGCATCCATTACCTTTTTCAGAAAACAAGAATAACACTGGATTCTTTAAAGCTTTGTGTATAACAAAAAGGTACTTGGGACAGTCTGTTGTAAATACATTTGTACATGTAAAAATGATTCACCATATTGATGAACACCTTCAGTTGTTCAACCGTTCGAGGTCTCCGTTGTCATATTTTGCTCTTCATAATGCTCCACACATTTTCAATGRGAGACTGGTGTRGACTGCAGGCAGGCCAGACTAGTACCCACACTCTTTTACTATGAAGACACACTGTTGTAACACCTGCAGAATGTTGCTTGACGTTTTCTTGCTGAAATAGTAAGATACCCCTGCCATGGGCACTAACACAACCCCATACCATCAGAGAGGCTGGCTTTTGAACTTTCCACTGATAACAGAGGACACAACATCCATGAATTCCAAAATAATTTGAAATGTGGACTCATCAGACCACTGGAGACTTTTCCACTTTGCATCAGTCCGGCTCAGATGAGTTCAGGTCCAGAGAAGCAGGCGGTGTCTCTGGGTGTTGTTGATATATGGCTTTGGCTTTGCATGGTGGAGTTTAAACATCCCTTTGTGGATGTAGAGACGACTGTGTTCACTGATAATGGTTTTCCTGAACCCTACACGTGTTTATATCTGTTACAGAATTATCTGTTTTTTTTTAGTACAGAGCTGACTGAGTGATCGAAGGCCACGGGTATTCAGTGTTGGCTTTCAGCCTTACAGCTTATTTGTCCAGATTCTATGAATCTTTTAAATGATATTATGGACTAGATGATGAAATCCCTAAATCCCTTGCAGTAGTACAYTGATAAATGTTCTTGACTTGTTAGACTGTTTGCTTATGAAGTGGTTCACAAAGTGGTGAATCTCGCCCCATCCTTGCTTGTGAACAACTGAGACTTTCGAGGATGCTCCCTTTATGCTCAATCATGACACCTGTTTCCAGTTTGATTTGATTTGATTTATTGATTCAGCAGGAAAAGATTACTAAAAATCAAGCCTGACTCAGCATAATTGCTGTTTTACAGCAGGTTTCTGTTCTGCAGCATATAAAACACTCAGAAATACAGCATCACAATCACATCATTATACACCATAGACACAAAGACAAACAAGCAAACCAAACTTCAGGAAGGCAGCATTTGCAAAATAGGACGTCTAAATATGAGCACAACAAAAAGTGTCCAGCAGATGGCAGACAAGATTCTTCTTAAAGGGCTGTAGTTTTGAAA